TTAAAGGCCCGCAAGCTCCCCCACCACGTCAAGGTGGGTCCCGTCGGGGAAGAACCTAACCTAACCTAACCTAACCTAACCTAACCTTTTTTTTTTTTTTTAACAATTTTACAATAATTATTCGTTGTGGGGGCATCTAACCACCCTGTGAACTTTGGCCTATCGGCCTACAACAAACAATATCTTAACTAGTTTAAAAAAGAAAATTGATGTGGCAGGGCTCTTAGGCCACTCTGGCGCAAACAGCTTCCCGCTGCCTCGTCCTCTCCAGCTCCTCCTTACAGCCCATGATCGCGTCCACCATATGGATGAGCTGAGCCTTCCTCCTTCCTGCTGCTGCCAGGATCCTTCCTCTGAGTGGCGGTGCTGTGGGTAGCTCCGCTGCCGTTGGCCCGCACAGGAGGTCCATTACTTCCTCCGGACGTACTGGCCTGCCCTGGGATTGCTCCACTTCTTTCCTCTCGGCGCTCCAGAAGAAGCACACAAACACAGTGTGCTCCGCGTCGTCAATCTCTGCAGTGCAGTGCGGACAGGCTGGGCTTAACGTCTTATCCCTAGTCCAGAGATTTTGGAAACAGCCATGACCACTGAGGGCCTGTGATATGTGATAGCTGACTTCGCGTGGACCACATTTCCACCACCTGGACAGGTTGGGTAACAGCCGTTTGGTCCAAGCTGCCTTTTCGGTGATATCCCAAAGGCTTTGCCAACGTCTGATGACGTCGTCCGAAGTGTCGCGCCTCATCAGTACGGCGCCGGCCTTTTTAGCTGCCGCAGTGCGCTTCCTCGCTCCTGCTAAGAGCGTCACCGGGGGCATCCTGGCCAATACGAGGACCGCCATGTCAGATACCGTCCGGTAGCACCTAGCAACCTTCAGCGCCGCACACCTCTGTGCTTGTAAAAGAGCATTGCTTGATTTTTGGGTTTTGGCCGAGCTATCTGCCCAAACTTCAGCTCCGTATAGCAGTCGGCTGTGGACCACGCTCATGAGGAGTTTCCTTTTCGAGTGGGATGGACCGCCAACATTTGGCATGAGCCTCCCGAGTGCAGCTGCGGCTTTCCTTGCTCCTGCCGCCACAGAAGTCGCATGGTCCACGAAAGACAGCCTAGTGTCTAACCGAACACCAAGGTACCTGATTGCTCGTTCAACGGGAATGTGGCAGCCCTGGATGTGCAGATGGGGATTGCGGTAGGCATTCTTGTTGGTAAGGACCACGCACTCCGATTTTTCTGGCGCGAGGCGGAGACCGCTAGTGGTCATCCATTCGACAATGTCCACCAGTGTTGGGTTGACCAGCTGCTCCATTAGCTCGGCGTTATGAGCCACAGCCACCACTACAACATCATCCGCAAAAGCTACCAACCTGACGCCCTCGCGTACTGGGAGCCGCAGTACGCCATCATAGAATAAATTCCAAAGCGTCGGCCCAAGAACTGATCCCTGGGAGCTTCCTGTCCTCCATGTATGACCTGAGGATATTAACCAGGTAGTGCGGGACACAGGACCTTCGTAACGCCTCATCAACGAACCTCCAGGGCGCCGAATTGAAGGCATTCCTTACATCAAGAGTGACAAGCACACTCAAGTCCCTGTCCCGGACCGGGCCGCGTTTAGCCGACTCAGCTATACGTAGGACCTCTTCGATGGCGTCAATAGTGGATTTGGACCGCCTGAACCCGTATTGATCGCACGTTTCCATCGCGACGGAATATCTCGCTTTGCGAGACACGCGTTGTAACATTCCACGAATATCTCTGGAAATCTGTTGTACGTCATGCGGATGATCTCGTTCCGAACGAGATCAGGTCCCGGCGCCTTTCCCGATGGAAGTCTGGCGACGGCGCAACCCACTTCGTCAGCAGTGATTAGAGGCGTCGTAGTGGCCTGATCTGTTGGGTCGACTGGGAATGCCTGCACCCCTATCTCCAGTGGGATGTCTTCACAAACCGGTGGAGAGGGTGACGGAAACAGTCCGCGGGCCACGGTGACGGTCAGTTCCCGGTCCAGGGTTGGGGAACGACGTCCAAGCCTTTTCGTCACCAGCCTATATGGGACGCCCCATGGATCACTGTCAACTGCCCGACACAACTCTGACCAGCTGCTCTCCTGGGCCTTCCGAATCGCCAGCTTGAGCTCGGGCCGCACCCTACTGTATGTTGCAAGCTCCGGCGATCTGTCCGTCTGTGTGGAACGGCGGCCCGCACGCTGGTACGCCCTCCTAGCAGCTATGGCAGCCTTCCGCAGTTCAGCGATAGAGTCGTTCCACCAGTTTACTCTCCGCCTCTTCTGAAATATTGTTCTACACGGCATAGCCGCATCACACGTAGCTGTTAGGAGATCATTCAGCCTCTCGGCGTGCTCTGCAGCGGAGGCGTCAGCCGGCAGCGGGCGTGCAGGACCAGCCAGKTTCCAGAGGACGTTGGCCACGTCGGGGTTCAACTTCTTGATGGACCACCCTGGTAACCRCGTAGACACTGCCTCAGGTGGAGCTGCGTCAGACACGGGACATGTAAATACGTAATGTATATAGTTGTGGTCACTAGCGGAGTAGACATCATCTAAGACCTCCCAGTCCGAGATAGTTAGGCGGCTGTTGGATGCATCGCGTGTGAAGGTGACGTCAATAACTGACGACGCGTTGACTCTTCTGTACGTCGGCTGTGCGCCAATGTTCCTAACGACCAGGCCCAAGGTCGAGGCAAATTCGGACAGCATTGCCCCTCTCACATCGTTTGTCGCCGAGCCCCACTCCGCAGAATGCGAATTGAAGTCGCCGGCCACAATCAGATTCACAGTCGCAACAGGATGGCGAC